CAGAAAACGTATACAGAAAACCATACTATCCCTTAAAGCTTTAGACCTGCACAACTTTCTGCATTTGATTTTATAACTGCTGTAATCCTTACTTTATATTGTTAATGAAATCTGTCCAATCAACGATTGAACAAAATCCTATAGAGAATTATAATTACAAAATCACATTTCTTCATGGTGTTGATCGAATTAAAAGTATTTCCATATTAATCGATATTTCTACAGCAAAGTAGCTATCAAAATCAATTATATTATAATAACCGCGTTTGATAACAATTATTTTGATAGTTGTCTAATTTTTTATAGTGTCTAAATGAAAACAAGAGAAATATTGACTCTATACTATAATGTGAAGTGACAATTTTCTGACAACAACTATCAGATTATCCACAAGCCTATGCTTGCGACTTAAAACGAAGTGATTTTACCAATATTTTAAACACGACCAATCATTGTTCGGCATTTAAAAATATTTCGACTACCATTCCCATTTGCGATATGAGATGCATGTCAAAAAACCACAATCGAGATTCTTTTTGCAGATAATGGGTAATGTAAAACTGAAGTACCATTCAGAGATTAGAAATACATTAGGAAAAATAGAATTTCTCTCATCCGAAACGTCATTAACTGTTTGGTTAACTTTGCTGTACTTAAGGACTATGTTTCAGATCTAGCGTTGATGGTTATTCAGTTGTAAGCAATGTTAAGTATGAATGTCACATAAACTTTCTATGCATATACTTTTTAAGATTTTGGGTTTTGTTTGTTTTCTCGTTGGTGTAAACTCATATGCCTGTTAAGTGCTGTTTTAAGATGAAATGAAAATTAAGTGTGATGGTAAAAAAAAAACGATAGGGTTAGAATGACCGAATTTTCACAAAACCTCGAAAACAAGCAGGCGTTGTATTGTCCCCGGGGTTGAGTGCTCACAAACATGTTTAAACCCGCCACATTTGGTATTTTCCTGTCTCAAGTTAGGAGCCTATAATTCAGTGGTTGTCGTTGGTAGTTGTCTGTCATATTCTTTTTTAGTGTATTGTTTTGTCATAAATCAGGCCTTTGTGTTAATTTGTTTGAATTGTCTCACATTGTCTCACATTTTGCCATATCGAACTCTTTTATAGTTGACTATACGGTATGAGAATTTCTCATTGTTAAAAGCCGCATGGTGACATATAGATGCTTAAATCCACGCCAGTTGGTCTCTGGTGGTTGATTGTGTCATTGGTAATCATACCACATGTTCCTATTTTATATTGTTGAGCAACAACTTATAGAAAAGACGGACAAAGAGAGAAAATGATTAGAATTCAGTGTTACTGAATTTTTAACATTCAAATCACATTATACCTCTTTCAGCAAATTCAAAATAGCAGATCTATATGGGGATCTATTAGGACCAAAAATAGCTATCGAAAGTATAAAAAACAAGGAAGGAGTTGAATTGCAAACACAAACATGTTGTACAAATGAAGCTATCAACTCGTTATAACGTGTCAGTCTAGAATGATAACTATGTGAACAAATTAAACATGCTATAAGAACGAATATCAGCTATATCGATATCGTGATTGTTAAACATACATAATTTGCAGTGATCGTAGGGTGTTTTGTGTTTTAACCTTCAGTATTAACAACTATACTAACACCATTTTTATATTTCTGCTTGGCTTTATTTATAAAATGAAGAAGATATATACCATGTGGTCAAGATTAATCCTATGCCGATGAACAACAACGCCATCACATAAAGAAAACAAATATAAAAAGAAAAACTAACATGAACAGTTCACAAAACACTTTAGTGAAATTAAAAAAAGACCGATCAGCATGAACCCCGTAAAGATGAAGTTCCGGAATGGTAAAGAGTAGAAATTAAATGTATGAAATGTAGAGACAATAGAAGAAAGACTTTTTGTGAGGACAACAGTAATATCATTCTGCTTTCATGCTTCCAGAAGCGCAATTATCTACAATATGACATCCGTTAGATATCACTTTCTCTTTCTTATATTCCTTGATTATAGCTAATGATTATTCTCAATAACTCCTACAGATAATTCTAATCAACTGGAAATATTGCACAGAAAAAGGAAACTAGAAGAAAATAACCCGTTGGACATTGATTCCCTACTGGGTTAAATAAAGCACAGATAATTATTTCCAATGTTTTGATATTATCTTTTTGTCTGATATTTGAAACTCCGATACTTTATTTCTTTCGTTCGATTCCATAATACAGAAATAGTTATTACGTACATTGGCTAATACTATATGTTATAATGGTTGATATAATTTTGGTTTGTTTGCCGTTGATTTTTTTCTTATATTTTTTTTTTTTTTGAAACCGAAGTCATGACACAATGCTTTCATATTTGTTATACTCTTTTGTATTATACGTCTTTTTATCAACAACAGAACAGAAGTTCCTTAAACTTAAACATGTTCAAAAGATTCAAACCAGTTTTATAAAAAAAAGCGGTTAGCAGTTTTTAACAACAAATGGAGCAGTTACAAGTGGTTGTTAGAATTCATCGCATATACAAAACTTATAATAATGTATACCAGACACGCGTTTCGTCTACATAAGACTCATGGGTGGCTGTATCAATTAAAACAGTTGTTAGGCAAAATCAAATACGAATTTGTAGAGCTTTAAATACCGAAAATTTCCGAAAAGCTGTGCCTATTACGGCAAGGGCAATCTATACCATGTGGTAGAAAACCCTTAGTGCTTCGAGTAATTTAACAATTCATATACAGTAAATTTACAGAAAATGAACAAATCCGGGATATTTCATATCACCACAAAAGTGATGACTACTGGGCTGGTGATACCCTCGGGGGAAAAACGCCCACTAGCAGTGGTATCGACCAAGTGGTTGTAAAAATTCATCAAAGAATTTCAGGCTTGTAATTATGAACGCCAGACGCACGTTTTGTCTCATCAGTGGCTCTAGTAGTTAAAACAGTTGGTAAGCAAAATAAAATACGAACTTGCAGAGCTTTAAAAACCGATAATTTCCGAAAAGTTGTGACTAATACGGCAGATGCAATCTATACCTTGGGGTAGAAAACCTTAGTGTTTCAAATAATTCAATGTTTTATACACAGCGAAATTAAAAAAAAATATATTTCATGTCAACACGAAAAGGTTGACTACTGAACTGAGCTGGTGATACCCTCGGAGACTGAATGTCAACCAGCAGTGGCATCAACAGTTGTTTGTAAGAATTCACCAAAGACACAGTGGCGTTTGAATTAAAACAGTTGGTCGGTCAAATCAAATACGATATTGTAGAGCTTTAGATACCAAAAATGTACGAAAAGTCAAAACAAAAGTGCTGACTACTGGGCTGGTGATACTCCCGGGAAAGAAACGTTTACCAGCAGTGGCATCGACCCAGTGGTAGTTAAAACTCATTAACGATATCAGCCTTAAACCACCTATTTAGATAAAAAGCAGATAAAAGACCCCACGCCGATTATGAGGATATGAACATTAGAAACTTAAAACTTTTTTTTAGGGTCAGAAAACAATAGTCTACGAGATGATTCATGCTCTGGACGAGAAAGAGAAGGTGTTATTTACAGATCTTAAATAATTGTTGTTTAATTTATTCACAACTTTTACAGATACGGGTAGATTTAGAGCTTGATAAGTAATTTTAGATGTCTATTGGTTAGTTGTGTTGATGAACTGCTGTCTCACTTATCATGTGCCTCAGCTTTCCTTTTCATAATTTGTATTGCATGATTATTCAAACATGAATAACACAATGAAAAAGAAATCCTTATATCCAAAAGCTGATACGATGCTTAAACCTTTGCAATTTTAATTTGACACCTTTTTAGATACTCAAAAAAGACAGTCGATTGGACCTAAACAAACTCTACGCATACTTCATATGACAATATGAAAAAGTAAAAAAGTAAAAAAAAAATCGCGAAAATTTGATTTCTTAGCAATTTTTCAATTCAACACAAATATCCGCGACATCAACCGATATATAGTTATTGAAATGAAATATTGAGAAACTGCAAAATTAGCACAGAACAGAAGATTTTTTCGCAGTACAATGAAATCCATTAGACATCTCTCTGTGGCAGAACATTATTCCAATGTTGTATTTGTAGACATGAAGCAATTAGGTAGATTTCCAATCTGTAAAAGAAGACTTGATTATTACTGTCTTTTATCAACATTGGTCTGTAACACCTGGTGCCGTCTATTTATCCTACAATATATATATATATATCAGGCGGACTGGTAAATTCAAATGAGTTTTTTTCCATAATAAAAAACAAGGCTTATCATCTAAATATAAAAAATAGAATTCAACTTAAGGAATAATTGTACACTCATGTCTCCCTTTTAAAACATGTATTTTCGAGTTTTGTTGACAATAGCATGATTCTGGCATATAATTGACAACTATAATAGTGTTTGGCGAAAGGTGCTTTATTATAATAATGCAATCATATATAGTTATACCAAACATGGTATCAATAAGCTACAATGAACAAAGTGTCAATATAAAGCGCCTGAACCCCAATGTGGGTAATAATAAAAGTAATTAAAAAAAATCAACAACAAGAAAAAAAAATTACATAATAAAATGTGGCTGGAACATGCTCTCTTGCTTAAAACCACATGTTAATTAAAACCCGGATGAAGTAACAAGAGGAAGCAATCTTGTGCAAGGCGTTATCAATTAGATACAATGAGAGTTACCTCCCATTGTACGTAATTGACAACTATAATAGTGTTTGGCGAAAGGTGCCTTATTATAATAATGCAATCATATATAGTTATACCAAACATGATATCAATAAGCTACAATGAACAAAGTGTCAATATGAAGCACCTGAACCCAAAACGAAGTCGCCAAACCGAGGGGGAGGAAAAAAAATAAATACAAAATACCAAAAAAAATCAAAAATATAAAAATACACCGGCACACATACCCTAAAACCGACTACCGATCAAATAATTCATGGCTGAAGTAACTCAATACATATCAACACTGGCTTGTTTAATGTAAGTCTGAAAACAGTCAGATCGCCAGTCTCAATGATGTTTCAATAAAATCTCAGGAATTCCAGCCTTGGTGGCTAAAGTGAAGGGTCTAAACCAGCAAGAACAATTAACTCTCTGAAACGGTCCAACAAAACGGATCTAGAAAAAGGGCAATAATTTACCATTGACAGGTAAGGAAAACACGGGAGCATACTTATCACCAGGTATTAAAGTCACAAGATGTTTGTAAGCTCGAACAAAACATATTAATGGCTCGACTGAGCAACATAGAGAAACCTGGTGTATGTAATCATGATCTTGTCTAGTCTTTGACCATTTCAATAAAAGAAGGATACCCCTATCACTAACAACAACATTCTTCCTGATCAATTGTTCTGCTGTTCAGATTTGATGCCCTAAGCATACCAAAAAAAAACAAACGTTAGAAAACATCATTAACAAGCATCTACATAATCATAAATATTCAACAACCTAACAATATCAATTAAATGTGTCGGTAACAATGGCAATTTTGACACAGCCACATGCTGATTCTTATGGCTCAATCCCCTTAAAGTAAATTTCAAATCTGTAGATAAAGAAGGTTCCACAGTAAAACCAAACAGTTGACTCCAGGTCTTAATGCCAGAAATATAATTCTTAACAGAAGAAAAACTGCTTAAACTCTTTGATAAAAACATCCGTAAGCACACAAGGTATCCTTAATACAAGGAAATGGTCGAAATTTATAAAACTAACAAAAAATATGGTATGCATTGAGTTGACTCTTCAGATTAGAACAAGTACCTGGCACAAAGGCTGCATCCTTAGCAAGCTTGACCTATTTCTGTAAAACTGCTCTTCTGGACTTAAGACCTGGAAGTCACAAAACAACAGTTATTAGATAAGCAACAATGTCATATTCATTATCATAGTTACTCTTATCACCAATTGTGCGCAAAATAGTATAAATGTATCATGTATGAACACCTAGATATTAATGATATCATTAAACATGTGACTAAACACTTCTTTCTCGACAAAATCTGAATTGTACATCTTAACGGGATTCCTGATAACGTCCTGATCCCCCATTTAAAATTTCGACACATGATTGATTGTCACAAAACAGCTGTACACGTTTATTGGAAATACTAGATGTCCAAAATTGAAATGCTATATAAATCGCATACATTTCAAGCACAGATATGTGCATGTCCCGCAAAGACTCCGGTATGTCCGAATGAAAATATTCAAATATCGTGAAGTTGACACCACCAATACCCTTGAGACAAGCGTCAGAGGAAATAATTGATATAAATGATAACCACCACCTAATGTCTTGTCTAAATTCATCTGTGATATGACCACGATAATGATTGAAATGGTATTGTCGTAATGTCTGTAACATGCGTGAAATAACAAGTCTACCGCTTCGGACGCATTCGGAAATAAATGCTAACTTGCCAATAACTTGTTGTAACTGACGTTTAGTGCAATGTTTTTTTTCGGGCAAAGTTTTGTAACAACTCATAAGTATCTTGCAATTTAGTCTCTGGAATTCGAACTGTCATGTCAATTGAGTTAAACTCCTTGCCGAGAAATGTCAAAACTTTTGTCGGCGGCAAACACTTTTCTTTGCTGACCTCTAATCCTAACCTCTGAAACAATTCTAAAACAAAATTATAGTCATGTTCAGCGTTCTGATTGTCACTAACACCACCAAAATCATAACATAGTTAATTGTATGGATGTTTGATTTCCATAACATATAGGAAACAGCATTCGTTGGTCGTTGACATATATGATGGACCGGTAAATTCAAATGATTTTTTTTTTCATAATAAAAAACAAGGCTTATCATCTAAATATAAAAAATAGAACTCAATTTAAAGAATAATTGTACACTCATGTCTCCCTTTTAAATGTGTTACATGAATTTTCGAACTTTGTTGACAATAGCATGATTCTGGCATATAATTACATTACCAGTTTATAACACTTACGCTTAAGTTACAACTTCTGCGGACAAAGGATGATTTTGACTTTGGCTTTTGATTATGTCTTTTCTCCCAAACTTTTGGTCTCGATAATACCTGATGAAAATTATTTCAGGATGACGTGATATGATCAAGAAATCATATCATGGTTTAAGCAATGTTGGACTTATTACACCATACGGCTACTAGTATGCGATACAGTTGATCTTGATTCAGACGGACGACTTTTAACTATAATATATATAAATATTAAGATAACAAACATGATGAACTCCAAGGAAAATTCAAAACAGAATGTTCCTTGTCAAATGGCAAAATCAAAAGCTCAAACACATCAAACGAATGGAAAACAACTCTCATATTCCTGACTTGGTACAGGCATTTCCTTATGTAGAAAATGGTGGATTAAACCTGGTTTTATAGCTAGCTAAACCCCTCACTTGTATTACAGTCGCATGAAATTTCATTATATTGACAACAATGTGTGAACAAAAACAAACAGACATAATAAGTAAAAATATCAAAAATAAGGATACAGCAGTCAACATTGTGTTATAATCTTAATAACTATAAAAACTAACAAATATGTCAACAAAGAAAAAAAATGGCATATAGACAAAGCACATAAGCAAAAGTGAAAGACAGGAATACAAATAATGACCATAGCACAATAACACAAAGGCGGGATGTATAAGTACCGAGCCAAGCCAAAAGGATATTACCAAAAATGCACTAAACTGTAAATGTTAATAATTTAAAAAGACAAATAAAATAACACTATAACTCACAATTCAGATGATAAACAACGTCAGTAGCTAGAATTTATACTCCAAGACCATCATGTATTATTTGTGAAGTTGATACAGAATATTTATCAACAAGGTCTTGGTATCATCCGATAAACTTTTTTTTAGAAAAAACGACGAGACGTTCTTTGACATAACCCTTATTTATCAACTTTCTGCACAGATACTTGTGACGTTTTATAAATTTGAGTAGCAAGCTCTTGAATATCGAATGAGTTTGAAAATGTATATCCCATTTGCAGGTGAAGTTTATATATAGTTGCTAAGGTGAGGGAAATTGATAATTTCAAAACTAGATTCGTCTCGTTTGTCATAGATTCGGGTACTGAGATGACCGCTTATGCCTGATTCGAGGTATAAGTCTTAAAATGAGGCGGAGGAAGCCGACATCTTCCCATTAATCAGCACTCACATTTCTAACGTATAGCGTTTACATGCCTCAATGAATATGACACACTATACGCACTTCATTAACAGGGGTGTACTTGTGCTCCTTACACAAAAACTACAGTGTTACATGTATATGAGGAATAACGAATGAAATTAACACTACATGAATCTTACAGTCACCATTACTAATTGGTTGACGTATACGATGTGTTTGTTTCTCAAACGTTGTGCAAAGGTATTCGACGTCTTTGATCTTTAGAAACCTGAATAGTCGTCTGATCTGTAAACTTACCGATTGTTTCCTACTTTCGATTGTGGCATTTTGGTTGGAATAGCGGGCAATGCATATATAGCAGCAGACGATTATCGCAAGTCCCCCAGGGAATCACCGGCCCACTAGCACATAATTTCGGTTGGTTCTGGCATGAAAACACGGATTTTGTTTTATTACAATTTGCTGATTAGCTTGGGAAATGTATCTCCTTAATACATAGCTTCAAAACTGATTCCTTGTCCAGGTTTTGTCTATACCTCTGGTCAGGAGTTGATTGACCGTTATGGAATATCTGTTTAAGAGATGACGACGGATATGTTCCAATTGTCGTAACTACAATCTCGACCCCTTTTCCCCGAATGTGACCTACCGAATTAGACTTATTACCGGATTTGTTCTTACTTGGGCAACACGACTGTGTCATATGTGGAGCAGGATCTGCTTACCCTTCCGGAGCACCTAAGATCAACCCAAGTTTTTGGTGGGTTCGTGTTGCTCAGTCTTTAGTTTTCCATGTTGTGTTTTTGTACTGTTGTTTGTCTGTTGGTATTTTTCATTTTTAGCCAAAGCGTTGTCAGTTTATCTAAGACTTATGAGTTTGAATATCCCTTTGGTATCTTTCGTCACTGTTTTTTGTCTTTTCCGGCGGTTATACGGTTAAATCTGTTCATCAATGGGGGGTTATGGGGAGGGGTGGATTTTGAAACATTTTGACCTCGAGCATCACTGAAAAAAATTAATTGTTGAAATGAGCACATGCTGCAGTATAATTGATACTGTTTGCTTTTATTAATACCACTAGACTGATACCTCTGATTGGGGAACTGCTAGTCCACGAGGGTACCATCAGCCTGCCCAGTAGATCGATACCTCTGATTGGGGAACTGCTAGTCCACGAGGGTACCACCAGCCTGCCCAATAGATCGATACCTCTGATTGGGGAACTGCTAATCCACGAGGGTACCACCAGCCTGCCCAGATCGATACCTCTGATTGGGGAACTGCTAGTCCACGAGGGTACCACCAGCCTGCCCAGATCGATACCTCTGATTGGGGAACTGCTAGTCCACGAGGGTACCACCAGCCTGCCCAGTAGATCGATACCTCTGATTGGGGAACTGCTAGTCCACGAGGGTACCACCAGCCTGCCCACTAGATCGATACCTCTGATTGGGGAACTGCTAATCCACGAGGGTACCACTAGCCTGCCCAGATCGATACCTCTGATTGGGGAACTGCTAGTCCACGAGGGTACCACCAGCCTGCCCAGATCGATACCTCTGATTGGGGAACTGCTAGTCCACGAGGGTACCACCAGCCTGCCCAGTAGATCGATACCTCTGATTGGGAAACTGCTAGTCCACGAGGGTACCACCATCCTGCCCAGTAGCTCAGTACGTCGGTATTTGCATGCCAAAAAGGATATTGTTGTATTGAAATTTGGTGTTATAAAGCTATGGAAATCATTTGAAATTAAGGATTGTATCTCCCTCATGCATTGTTCTGATTTTCTCTCTTAGTAAGGCTATAATTCTAGGCAATTTATATTATAATTATATACGACGAATGAAGATTTCGGGTTTTTACACATTTTCGCTTCGAGCATCACTGAATAGTTAAATTGCCGAAAATACTCATATTGTGCAGTACAATTGGTACCTGTTTTTACTCTGTCGATGGACTCGCCTAGCTCCTTTTTCATCAGTAATTCTTTGTTACCGTGATTAGTATCTTCTAATTGATTTATTGAGATATTTGGCATATGATAACGTACAATTATCGCGCTTTTGATAAAGTAACACTTTTTATGTCCCCAAACAATACTTGTCTTATATAGATATAAGAAGATGTGGTATGAGTGCCAATGAGACAACTCTCCATCCAAGTCACAATTTGTAAAAGTAAACCATTATAGGTCAATTGTCTGTTTAAAGTTTGTTTCCAATTCAAAACTCATGCAATCAGTATTAATCATACGATTATATTCCAAATACGTTACTCTTTTTTTTTTGCATTCATGTTGAATAAAATTCACTTGTATTTTTTCCAGTTAGAAAAATAATAATGTCAAATATAATGATTTTGGTTGAATATTATTCATTAATTCCCTTAACTTTACATCCTGATGTTCATGCTAAGAGCACATTAAACAATGTGCCTATACATTACATTGTGTTCTTACTGTCTCTTGTTAATGGAAGTTTGTTGAAATATGAAACAATATATTTCACGATATGAATCATTGATGATTAACCAATGCTCAATTTTCTTGTTTTCAATAATATGGATTTAGTTATTATTATTTGCAACTTTTTTAGCGGAATGGAATATTCAATATTGTATATCAATAAAAGAATATTGTTTAACAATTGATGGAACCGTCATACAAAAACATTAGATAGTATCATTCCTGAAATTTCATTTCCAAAAGACTGAATTTAACTGAATAGTAATGATAGGCAGGTTTCCATTATAAGGAATACTTATCTACAGTTACGATCTATAGTTTAATAGTAAAGTTAAAAGAAAACCATTTGTAGATTCTTATTTGGACAGAAACCGAACAACAAGCTATAAAGGGCCCCAAAATGTCTAGTGTAAAACAATTCAAACAGTAAAACCAACGGTCTAATCTATATGAAAAACGAGAAACCAGAAACACTTAGGAACCACACCAACAAACGACAACCACTGAAAAACAGGCTCCTGACTTAACACAAGTGCATAAAAATGCAGCGGATTTAAACGTTTTAACAGGCGCCAACATTCACCCTAACCTGAAACAGTGGTATAACATTACAACATAAAAAGACACACAATAAAATATCAATTGAAATGGCTTAACTCGACCAAAAAGACAATACACAAAAACAAGTAAATATACACTGAACGAATAAGTTTGATCTATGACACAATATAAATAAAAAAGATGGTTATTTGTTTTCTTTTTTACTAAAGATTTATTTGTTTTCCATCAATTGGTACCATTTATTATTGCCTTGAATTCAGGAACAAACTCAGTCGCCTCGAAAAGTTGAGCATGTCATGCTTACAAGTGTCACTAGTGATGCATGTTAGAGCACCTGAAATTATCTCCATTTTATTGTATAGTTTTACTTCGTTTGAAGTTTTTAGTTCGGTGTTTTGAAGACTGTTGTTCGTATGTTAATCTATTTCCTCGGAATAAAACTTCCGTCTGAACCCCAAATCCTCTGTTGACGGAATAAGCATAGACATACATGCAAATGATTCTCCGATTGTGAAATCGTCAAATATGGACTTGTTACCATTCTCTGTTAGCATTGCAATGCTATTTCGATGTTTCAGTCGCATATACAGGCCTTTAATCTAAGACGGATATTAGTACCATTCGGTTTATTTAAGATCGCTGTTTTCTCTATACATCATACACATTTTAAAAATATAACATTTGTGTTAGTTTATTGCGTTAATGTTGTTAGTGTTTAATTACATGTATATTTCAGTCAGTGCTGTTGACATGATCGTTAAACTAAAAGCTTTTCAAAATGAACAGTAATGATCTTACTGCAGTAGCGGTATTTTACATTCAAGACATAACTCTGATGGCTGATTAACTATCAGTGCATTACAAACACTGCTACGAGTACGACATTTTGTCTAAAAGTTCAAATGCAAAGCCCTTCTTGCAATCAATGAATAAGATCTGGTTAAATGTTTGTTTTTGAAATGTGAATTTCTTCTTATGCGGTATTCCCTCCAGACATAATAGCGTATACGACCAAATCTACAGCTGTCATCAAAGTGAGCCACTAATAGATATGGATGAAAATCATGAGGGTCTTGGCAGGGTTTACAGAAAAAAGAATAATTAACGGGGCCAAAAAAGAATAAAGAAAAATGAAAAAAAAAATAAGAATATAGAATAATGTCGAGAGGGGGGCTAAAATGTAAAGAACAAAGCATTTCAGTCAGAATACATTAAGGATACAGAAAACATCATACAAATCTAAGAATACAAAAATGATGACCCCCTCGTTATTTTAGATTTGCATGGCAGCAAAGCTTTGATTTTATTAAACACAAATGCAAAGTAAAGTTCAACACGTGCTCTCTGCTTAGGTCGTTGTAGATAACAAACTCAAAAACCAATCTACAAGAATAAAAACAATTTTCATTTTGCAAGCAAATGCAAATTATTAAAACAAAATGAAGATTCAGTGTATAGACAAATTCCAAATCAGATAAATCGGAAATATCATAAGAACAATACATTTTCTCGGTGGGAGAGTATGCTAACTTTGCTGCGTTGAAAGCGTACCTACCTGAAACGTATTTGTTTTGGTTTTTTTTTTTGTGATGAGAACTAATGTGACCGCCTAAAACAATACGATAAAATGTGTCTGATATCAAATTTTATTAAGCAAGAAAATAAAAATATTAAATAACTATTATAAAAGAACACAAAAAAAAACGAATCATAAAGTCATCAATTGCATCACGTGTGGTTACAAACTCCTTGCATTTCATTCAAAATTTTTAAAAAAAATGGCAATATAGCCTCACATTAAGAACTTGTTATCAAGATTTTGATATATACAACTGCCTAATTAAAAAAAAACATATTCGTTTAGGTCTGATTTTGGAGTCTTTTAGATACAAGAACTGTCGTCTAAACTATGAATTTTACCGAGAGTGTCTAATTTCCGATTGTGACTTCATGATTGAGTTTGGATCCACGGATAATGCAGAAATATCATTAGACACTAACCCTATCGACTGTCAACTGGTTTCGATCCTTTTTGCAGTTCAGGCAATTCACTCAGTATTTGTTTTTCACTTGGTTTGTATTTTCTAAACGGGTTAATTAGATTGAGACACTGGTAAAAAGTAAAATCACAAAAATACTGAACTCCGAGGAAAATTCAATCGGAAAGTCCCTAATCACATGGCAAAATCAAATGACAACACACATCAAACGAATGGACAACAACTGTCATATTCCTGACTTGGTACAGGCATTTTCAAATGTAGAAACTAAAGCTGTCTTTATTTTTTTACATATGATCTTGCTAAATGCTTTGTGTAGATTGACCAAGTTAGATCAAATATGTCAATTTTGACTGCATGTTATTTGTGTAAATAGTTTTTTGCAATTTCAGAGATTATGTAATGAATCTTCTATTACATCCCCTCTCGGGGTATTTTGATATACCATAGTGTCTTTGTCGAATTTGGTGTATTTGAACAATTTACAAACAATAAAGCTACAATTGATGTGTAGATTATCTCAATAAGCCTTTGATTCCACTTTAGTTCTTTTTATTTTCTCTTTTTATATGCATCTTTGATTGGTTAAATTTATTGCTGTATTTCTTCCAATTCTGTGTAACAAACAAGTATGGACTTAATTTTATTTGATACGCGTAACGTACGCGCATATGTTGATTCCTGCTAGATGTTACGTAATATAAAAAAACTTGATGTTTTCACCTTGAACACCAGAGTTTTAAAATGATTCTCAACGTTTCTTTGATACGTGTAGCTTATTGTACTTTATTATATGTTTCTTTATTTAGAATCCAGTATAGCAAAGAGAAGCAAATTATCTTTAAACTGGCACTTAATCAAGACATTTTTTTTTATTTTCTGCAAGTAAACAGTTGAAATAATCTTTAATTAATTACACAAGACATATGAAAAATACATTCGGTAAAACAAGAGTTTGCAGCTGTTACTCAGAATTTATAAAAATGTCACCAGTGTCTAAGCAGAAAGTTGATTGACCAGGGTTATATCAAAGAACATCCTTTTTCTAAAGATAGTAATCGGACGATACCAAGACATTGTTGATAAATATTCCGTTTCAACTTCACAAATAATAGATGATGGTCTTGAAATATAGATTCTGGGTTCTGATGTTAGTTATCATCTTAATTACGTGTCTTAGTGTTCTTTTTATTTGTCAATGTATATTTTTTACCTTTACTGTTTAGTTCATTCTGCGTAAAATCCTTTTGGCGTGGGTCGGTATCTTTACATTCATTCCGCATTGTGGTATTGTTCTATGGTCATTTCTGTATTCTTGTCTTCATTTTTGCTTATGTACTTTGTCTGTAGAATGCCTATATGCCATTTTGGTTTTTTTCTTTGTTGCCATAGCTGTTAGTTTTTATAGTGATTAAGATCATAACACAATTTTGACTGCTGTACTCTAATTTTTGATATTTTTACCTATTATGTCTGTTTGTTTTGCTCTTACATCGTTGTCAGTATAACGGAATACTATGCCACTGTCATTCAAGTAAGAGGTTTAGCTAGCTATAAAACCAGGTTTAATCCATTATTTTCTACATAAGGAAATACATGTACCAAGTCAGGAATATGACAGTTGTTTTCCATTCGTTTGATGTGTTTGAGCTTTTCATGCCATTTGATAAGGAACTTTCCGTTTTGAATTTTCCTTGGAGTTCGGTATTTTTGTTATAATTTTATTTCTTAATCGTTTGCGTGATTTGAACATCGGTAATCTACTGTCGCCTTAATTTCAGAAAAAAAAGATAACAAGTATTTTTTTTTGGCGTCCGAAGCACTTTTCTAGATTTCCCTTCATCAATAACACTCAAAGCCAAAAGACTTCAGTCAAGGATGTATGGTTCTAAACCTTGTGAAGAGCTGTATAACCAAAAAGGAACCAAACATAATAGCAAAATCCATCTAAAGTCAACTATTCCTGAGGGAGTTTGATACTAATTTTAGATTTAGCAACGTAGAATTTAAGGTTTATAGATAAATCATGCCAGTACCGAAGCACTTGCTACTAAGCTGATGCACCAGCAGCGGTATCTACAGTGGACAATATATAACATTATACTTCACAATTCAGTTTCACTTTTTTTTACTATATACGTAAATTACACTGACTTCGTTGCTATAGAGATTAAATCCAAATGATTGCTTAGTTTAGACAACATAATCATTACAGTAAGTTTTATTTTAGTCTCAGCATATTCGTGCATATAATGATCTAACCGGTTTATGTCCATATCCTTGCAACTGCTAGTGAGGCATATGTGATTAAGT